ACATTTGTAGTGCTATATCAGACTGTTGTTCTTGTAAAAATTATAAAAAATTAACCACCAAATTTTTTCGTATTAAAGTTTATAATACGCTCCCACCCTCAAATTGGCTCAATAAATAAGAGCAAAATCCATTCTGATAGTACATAATGGCCATAACTTTTTTTTCTTTTGATCTAGGCCTTAAATATTTGGCATGCTGATGAATCATCATGAGTGTAAGTGTCTTGTATCATGATGACCTTCATGTGACCTTCAAAATTTGACCTCAAGGTCAAATAATGTATTCTTTCGCAACACAACCAGGCAATAACTTCTTCGTCTTTTGATCACCTTACATCTTTGGTATGTGGATGTATCATCATGAGGTGGTGTCCTCCCTTACAATTTTGACCTTCGTGTGACCTTGAACTTTGATCTCGAGGACGGTAACTGTATTCTATGCAAGAAACACTTGAGCAGGCCATGACTTATCTTTTGACCTAGGTCTGAGATTTTGAGCTCGCTAATTCAATTGAATTGAATTCAAAGTTTTATTTAGAGTCAATATTTAGTTAACAAATACATATTACACAAGCTCTAATCGACCATACAACAATATAGATATAAGAAGATGTGGTATGAGTGCCAATGAGACAACTCTCCATCCAAGTCAAAATTTATAAAAGTAAACCATTATAGGTCAAAGTACGGTCTTCAACACGGAGCCTTGACTCAAACCGAACAGCAAGCTATAAAGGGCTCCAAAAGTTACTAGTGTAAAACCAACGGTCTAATCTATATAAAAAACGAGAAACGAGAAACACTTATGAACTACATCAACAAACGACAACTACTGAACATCAGATTCCTGACTTAGGACAGGTGCAAACAATTACAGCGGGTTTAAACATTTTAATGGCACCAAACCTTCACCCTTATCTGAAACAATAGTGTAACATCACAACATAGAAGGGCACACTATAAAATATCAATTGAAATGGCTTAATTCAATCAAAAGACATATTAACACCAGTGAAAAAATAAATTTGATCTATGATACAATGTAAATACAAAATAAATAAACTATGGGAAGAATAATTAAAATAACATGTTATACCGCTGTGAAATGTTAAACAATTTAAGAAAAACATTATTCTTGAACAAAATTATCAGCCATTTTCAATTACTTTAAACACTGGTAAATGAAAATAATTTTGTTGTATGTGTACAGTTCAAATAGAGAAAGGACATATTTTTACAAAATAAATAATTTTGATGTTCATAGTACGAAGAAGTGAAAATTTATAGTAATACCAAACACTTATCGAAGCTGGTGTATAGACCAGATATAACTCTGAATAACATTAAATAACAAAAAAGCATTACAATTAGTATCAACAGGTCAAATAAACAAGAAAGTACGATTTGAGAGTACTCGCAGTTACTGACAGCTAGTTAAAAGCCAAAAACAATTAATAATAAAAATTCATGCATCAGAGACTAAAATCAACTAAAACACATCCCAGGGATTTAGTATTTTAACGTCATGGACAGTCAAAGAAGACATAACTTGTGCAATGCCAAAAATAAATGTATCGACAGGCAGTAGGATAGTTAGGAGTTAACCTCTTTATAGATCAAAATGAACGTGGGTGTGTCTTTATACATCCCGTTTGAAAAGAATACAAATTTAGTGATATTTTAATTTGCTGATGACAAAATCGATACTAGTGCCAATGTAAACTTTATTCAAAGATCTAATTACAACATTGGTAAGAAAACCTTTACTTATAAGTTTGATTAAAGGTTCGATGAGTTTACACGGATCATATAGTGATTTCCGCGCTTTAAGTACAATATTACCGTAAAATTTAGGACGTGAAATACCGTTTAGAATCAGTTTTCTACAGGTACAGCCAAATTTACTAATCAAGTCTTTGTATCTATGAAAGAATTTAGTAAACGTTTTACGTAACTTATGGTAACGAAATCCCTGACTTAATAATTTACCAGTGATGCATTGATTACGTTCGTTAAAATCTATGACATCACTACACACACGGGTATAACGAACGAGTTGGGATATATAAACACCGTATGATGGAGCCAAAGGAACATCGCCGTCTAAAAAAGGAAAATTAACAATAGGGAATGAAAAGTCGTCTCTTTTGTCATAAATTTTAGTATGGAGTTTTCCTTTAGAGATTTAAAAGTCCAAATCTAGAAAAGGACAACTACTGCTGTTTATGTTAGATTTAGTTAATATAGACACACATTATGACATATCAACCACTTCCATGCACACGGAATACATAAAGGACATGTAGTTACATAAAAAATTCAAAAAAGGTATAGTTTCTATTGAGGCGAAGTGTACGTACTGAAGTACTCCACAGAATGTTTTTTAATTTCACATACGGATTCTGCTTGTAAAAATACACGGAATAATAGAATAAAAAAGGGAGTAACCGATTTTCGTTTTTGAGATACGAGCTGTTGAAATTAACAGCATGAGATGCCAAAACTCATAGGATACATAGGGAAAATATTAAAAATCGGCAGATAATTTACATGATCAAGATTTTCAATTTTGTTGGTCTACAGATTTAAAAAAAAAGATATACGATTCAGAAATGAACGACGAATTCATTGGTGCAAAGAACCACGGCTCCTGAAAATCTGAACTAGGTGATAAAATAGAGATGACCGTGCAAGATCCTTTTTTGTTTATAGCTCTTCATATTTTTAATAAGCTTTGGATTTTCAAATATTTTGGCCTTGAGAATCACTGAAGAGACATTGATTGTCGAAATGCGCATCTGGTGCAGAAAAATTGGTACCGTTTATGTTATTACTACAACTGGGTCGATGCCTCTGCTGGTGGACTGATAGTCCCCGAGGGTATCACCAGCCCAGTAGCCAGTACTTTGGTACTGGCATGAAAATACGGATTTTATGTTATTAAAATTTGCTGTTACAAAATTTTGGAATTTATTTAAAATTAAGGAATGTATCTCCCTCATGCAAAGCTCTGATTCCTTGTCCGGCTTTGGCTATACTTTTTGGTCCTTTTTTGTTTATAGCTCTTCATATTTTTAATAAGCTTTGGATTTTCGAATATTTTGGCCTCGAGCATCACTGAAGAGACATTGATTGTCGAAATGCGCATCTGGTGCAGAAAAATTGGTACCGTTTATGTTATTACTTCCACTGGGTTGATGCCTCTGCTGGTGGACTGATAGTCCCCGAGGGTATCACCAGCCCAGTAGCCAGTACTTTGGTACGGGCATGAAAATACGGATTATATGTTATCAAAATTTGCTGTTACAAAATTTTGGAAATTATTTAAAATTAAGGAATGTATCTCCCTCATGCAAAGCTCTGATTCCTTGCCCGGCTTTGGCTATACTTTTTGGTCCTTTTTTGTTTATAGCTCTTCATATTTTTAATAAGCTTTGGATTTTCAAATATTTTGGCCTCGAGCATCACTGAAGAGACATTGATTGTCGAAATGCGCATCTGGTGCAGAAAATTGGTACCGTTTATGTTATTATGTATAATCATAGAATTTGATAGTATTTCTGAAGCGGTTAGGAAAATTATATACAACTGGTTTTTAGTTTAAAGGAAATCAGTCTTAAAAATGCTACCAAAATGTAAGAGTCTTAATTAATTTCACCTCTCATTCCACCAAATATCAAACTGCAGATACAAGTGTCACATTATTTTTTTGTCCCCGTTATACTCTTCTCAGTTATAATCTTGAATTTAGGCTTGAGAAGAAAACTTTACTTCAAATTTGCATTCACTAATTCGGAAAGATACACAAAAGCACAACTAAAGAAAAAAAATGTCGCTATCCCTTCGAAATTAGAATTTCACAAAGCAAAAATAACATGTTCTATTTTTATCATACAATCATGTGTAGTTTCAGTTTCAACCATGGTCCTAAATTTAGACTTTACTTTCCCCAAAAATTGCGGATGGAATAGAAGACACCAGTTTATTTCCTTCACCTGCCAGGATAACGGTTGAAAACAGGGAGTTGAATAATACAGTTTTTTTCTTATTGCGATAAATGTAAGAGTGTTAAATTGTTAGTTAATGTGTAATGTATTGTGGACTGAATCTGATGGGTCTTTTTTGTTGTCTTTGTTCCTCGACTCGTAAATGATGCACTAGTGGTTGATTATCCCCCTGGTATCTTCTGACTTTTTATATGAATATAAATCATGCCTTAAAAATTTCAATTGCATAAAAAAAAATATGCCAGCGTTTTTCAACCCACAAATACATATGTCATATATAAATTATTCGTATTACCTACAATTATACACTACTTAGTGTATTTCATTAAAAACAACGGTTTTCAAAAAAAAGTATCGTGGACTCCACTGGAGTCAATTTTGGTTTGATTTTAATCAATTTTGGACGAATAGAGGCATAATTGTCCTTGGTTTATACCTTTGGTTATAATTTTATTGTCAGGCTTCTTACTTTTTATACTTTCTACTTTATTGTATTATATGTAAGGCCTAGGTTAAAAAAAACAAAAAAAGTTATGGTCTGTTTCCCTTCATTATGTACATTTGCCACTTTGAAAAAAAATCTGACCTCCTGGTTTTCTTTTGTAAATTTATTTCACATTGAAATTTTCCTATTTTGTCTCTTTGAAGATTCATTTATGGAAAATGTGTAACTATAAATGGATTAAACGATTACATGCATACCAATGGGTGTACATCTGCTCTTAGCAACAATGTAAACATTCTGATCAGGATCTTTTAAGTTCTTGAATGTTGCATGTGATTTTAAAACGCTATAATGAAACAGACTGTGAGTTAGAGTTATCTTTTCTTAGGTGTTCTGTACCCTCTTAAATGTTTTAAGAAGATCCCCTGGATATATTATAGTTTTGATGTTATGACATATACAAAAATTCTGTTGTTGCTATTTTTTTTCGATTTGATATTTCTTTTTACTCTGTAAAACAGTTTTAATCATTAAACGTATACAAACGGTATATTATTCATATTTGAACTGCATAAACAATCTTACTTCCTGCATATCTTGCGACATGCGTGATGGCATTCTTTATTAACAAGTGATCAGCCCATTCATACGTTGGCGTACATTCATTATAAGCACCTATCACAGACACAACTATTCTTGGCTCTCCACAATTCGTCAAATCATCCCAAATTTGTCCTGGTGGCGGGATTGTTGATGGCTAATGTAATACACCAAGTGTATATAGATTTAACATTCATAAATAAAAGAATTTAAATCCATTTTTCATAATTGGGATCCAATTTATCATGGTTATTAAGACATGCATACTAGGAAAGCGTTTTATTTTCTGACTTATATAGATTTTTGGTCTAGTATGTACTCTCCTATCTTTGAAATATATATTTAAAAAACATATTGTGTTAAGTTTATCAATATTGTTGTAGCATAAATCATGCCGTTGGTTTTCTCTTATTAATTCTTTCTTTTTTAATCATTTTCTGTACTACTCTTTTTTTTTCTTTGCGGATTAAAAGGCAAACACATACCTCTTTCTGTAGTAGTACATTATCAAGCACGCAATATTAATAATCATTATCAAGCATGTGAAATGAACAAACATACTATGGTATAACAATATTTTTATACTATTCTAATAATATAATGAAAATAGTAATAACAATACAAGACCATATATACATACACATGTACGTATATACATGAATAGTCATCATAACATTCTAATCAGTGACCATAACCCAATAGTTCTAGAACCTGTTGCATACTTCCATACTCAATTTTATTTTAGGAAACATATGTTATGTCTTTCGGTTATTAAAACTCCAGATATTACTTCACATAATATCCCCGTAAAATATTTGAGAGAAAACCTATTATCGTTACGAGAATATAATATATCAGTACCATTCATAATTACAATAATATGCATAATAACTACTTAAGAGAGGCGAACAATACTAAAAGGGATATTCAAATGCATAAGTTAAATACAAACTTACAAAATCATCAACAGCATAACAACTATTGCATCTTTATTTCAAGATCAATTTCCAAAATTAAAGTGATCAAGCACATGAAGATTTTTCTGTCATTAAATAATGATTCAATACCTGTCCATCTCGTCCATCTCCTGTCGAGGATTGTTGTGGTTTCATAAGCTAAAATCATCAAGTTATAAAAATAATTAAAACACAAATAAGTGTAGAAGACGATACAACAGTCTGAGAAATAACACATCATTAAAACCGGGAAAAAACCCCGTGCACAGGAAAAATCAGCTGCTTCTGTGTAAAATTGGTACTCGTCGCATCTGAACAATTTTTCGATTGCTCGAATATCATAAATTTGATCTTTTGTATACTGTCTCTTTTCCTTTTCGGTATTTTTTTCTGTATATCTCAGCTATATAGATTTCAAATTGATGTCTTTTTTATCCCTTTTTGATGCTTTTTCAAAGTGGAAACATTTTATTTTGAAAAAAAAACACAAAGGAACAGATCCAAGGAAACGTGTATACACACAACAATCAATGTTTTCGTTGTATGTTTATTTACAGTTATGAGTTGGTTTTCCTGTGAGATGACAGGGGTAACAGTAGATTGCAACTGTCATTGGGTCTTCGATGGATATTTGTGTCAAAGTTAACCAATCCACATGTCTTTGTTTATTTAATTAGCATCTAATTTGATATATGAATATAAATTACTTGCATATAAAAGCTTATTAAAACAATTTTTGATTAAAACATATAGACATTGGTATGACCTCTGCACATCACTATATCAGTAAGAAGGTAAATTTGTGTTTATTACTTAGCAATGTGTAAATAACATTATTCAGAAACCAATTCTGAATGAATAGACAGGCACACGTTTTTATAACATTTTGAAGCAAATATTCATAAATTAGTATACCTGAAATGTATGCATCACAATAATGAAATATACAATGAAAAGATATTGCAAATAAATATGAAAAACAAATATTTACCTCAAATGTAGATATCTGTTGAGGTTCCTCCATAACTTTCTAAAAAATGAAAGAACAAGTTTAAGCTTCGATAGACTTTAGAAACGATTCAAATAATCTGTATTTTATTGATTTCTAAGACCTATACAAAGATATGGTTTTTATGTTTTTTATGGTTATTGATATTTGGTTGATGTCTTAACGTTTGTTAACACTAAATATGTCTTTTTTTACTAAAAACAATATCATGACGACAATGATAGTAATGATATTTATAGGTTTAATAGTGAGAATGGGATATCACTTTATAACAACTCGAGTTATTTAATTTCAATATAATAATAAACGAGCCTTCGGTGGGTTTATTATTACTATTTAAATTAAATAACGAGAGTTGATATCAAGAAATATCCAATTTTCACAAGTTGTTAAATCTATTTATCTTATGGTCAACACTCTCAATGAGAAAATTAAAAATTTCGCGAAATATTGATCTAGTCTTTTGCACATTCCTGTGTGACGTCATATATACTTTTTTGATGTCAAACTTTAATATCAGACATTATAAGACGTTTTGTATGCTTCAGAACGTAATAAAATTACAAAAAGAAGATTGTCAGGTGAAATGTGTAAGTGTTTTGTATATTATTGAAGAAATCACATATGTATGTTGCCATGGACGAAATGTACATCGTCTTAACTTTTGAAAGTCATCAATGACCTAACGAATAGCCAATTGAAATGCCGTAATATTGTCTTGTGATACTGGATAAGCCAATCAAATTAACGCAGACTTTCGTATCATATTTTCCTTTCACACTCCGTGCAGTGTGATACGAGAATTGTCTATTCATACCAGAAATAGATAACAGAGTCTTACTTATCGTTTTCCTTAAAGAATCTACTTTTTCTTCTTTTATGTTTGTGGCCTGTAGAACACTGTTTCATATACTATATGGTGTCTGTTGATTATTTTTACTTTATTTTACCAAAATAAGACCATTGATGAACATCCGAGCGCTGCAAAGGTCAAATTGTTATTGCAATACTACGATAAAAAGGAGGAAACAGCAGTTTACCTACACGTAGAAATCCATTTGATTGTACATGTACAGCAAAGACGTAAAACCTGTGGCTACTTTATACTTAACCTATTTACTTCAAAATCTCAAGATTGTACAGATTCTGAGCACAAAAGTGATTAACAGACATAATGAAAAACGGGGATGTTAAGATTTTGAAACCGTATGTAAAGTGTTCAATAAATCTTCTCTTTGTCTCTTCACTCATTTATCGCTTTCATTTTTACTTTCTTGGCGATGAATTTACGTTTTTGTATTTTTGAAATGATATATAAATAAAAAAAAAAAAAAAAAAAATCACGAAAATACGGAACTCCGAGGATAATTCAAAAAGGAAAGTCCCCAATCAAATGGCAAAATCAAAAGTTCAAATAAATCAAACGAATGGATAACAACTGTCATATTCCTGACTTGGTACAGGCATTTTCTTATGTAGAAAATAGTATATTGAACCTGCTTTTAAAGCTAGCTAAACCTCTCACTTGTATGACAGTCGCATCAAATTCCATTATATTGACAACGATGTGTGAACAAAACAAACAAAAACAATAGGTACAATGTCACAAATAGGGATAAATAGTCTAATACGGTAGGTCACATTCGTGAAAAGGGAACGGGATTTTAGTTACGACATAAGGAACATATCCGATATCATCTGTGAAACGGATATTCCATAACGGTCAACCAACTCGTGATGGCGTCCGTAAAATTTATAATTCATTTTAATTTTAATAATCTATCTCATTCGACAGCTATGTGTATTATAGTTACGGTTACCTTTGGGCTATCTGGAACTTCTTCATCCTCAGTCTGAGTTGCAATTTCATGCACGATTTTATCATATGTTTGTATGGCATCGTCTGTTTGACTGGCAGATGTTGTAGCTATTGGATGCTATAAAACATGCAGGAATTTTGGACGAAAATTTTAATGTAACATTACATTATTATTGATGTCTATCGCTTTGAAAGTATAGAATCCCTCTTGATTCAAGTCCCATACATAATATCATCACTATGTACATATTATTAAAGCAACACAATATTATACAAACGAACGGAACATTTGTCTTGAATGTGCAAAGTTGTTTTTTCAAGACAAAAATAATAACTCAAAAGGTAACAGTTATTATATAAATATCAAATTAACACAATACAGGTACTATATTTGTTTTCTTATTTTCATCAATGTATACCCGAGCAATGAGAGAACGATTGTTAAGTTTCATATACTGGTTAAATAGAAATGTGTTCGTTAGTACAGAAATTCCATATTCATACATTACAATTTTAAGAAATTTCTATTCAACAGGATGACCGGATTTGTTAGGGGATACAATCTTAGTTTATCAAAGCTCGTTCTCATATTTGTTTAATCAAAATGAAATAGAGATGTAATAAAAGTGTCCTCTGCATAATGTTCAATCATAGGGTCGAAAATACCGTAACCTCCTGAGTTTTGAAAATTACAGTTTCGAATGATATGATTTAAGTATTTTGTATCAATTTTCAATAGGTTCATCTATTGAAATGTTTTACTAAGCTATGCATCGCTGTCAGTGACAATTTTGAATTTTGACAAAAACTGTTCAAATTTTACAAGTCTCTTTGTATCTGAAAGAAAGTACTTGCCTTTACTTCTGATGCATATTTACGAAAGTTCTTTTCATAAATTGCTGTAAATTGATATTTGTAATTTGCTAAAATCTCACAAAATTGATTTTTTTTTGTCATTTCAGGCATTTATAATTCCGTAAAAGGTAAGAAATAAGACGTTATTCAGATATAACATCAGTATAAAAAAAGAAAAAAGATATAAATAGATATGAAACTTTTTTTTATTTAGAGTTGAAAAGTTTTGTGATAATTGCCTTAGTCATAAATGAATTTAGGATAAATTGGAACTACTAAAAACACTCCAATAACAAGAAGTTCATGCTCAATTGCTTGTAGTAGTCCAAGACAAATTAAATATCAATCTGTGTTCGTATGCTGTTTATATATCTTTATTATTACGTTATGTTCCTGCGTGTTCACAATATGCGGTTTAAAAAAACGGGAGTGTGATCCTTACACAGAAATTGCTGCAACAGATTAACGAAGAAAAACGACAGAAAACAACACGTTACAATTTTTAAGAGTACCATCATGAACTGGTTGACAGATATGGTGTAGCGGTGTCTCAACTTACTAATGCATCAATATGATTTCGCGATCTTAGATTATAAGATATCAGTATAGTCGTCTCATCTGCCATTTTTCTTAATTGTGTTTTATTCCTGATTGTGACATATTTTGAGTGAGAAAGAGAGATGAGCGATGCATGCTCAGCAGGAGACGATTACCTTGTTAAGTCAACCAGTCTCGTCCCTTTTGGAGTTCAAGCGATTCTCTAACTGTTTGAGCTTGATTTATATCTTCTTAATCTATGTACGAGATTTGAACATCGATAAAATAGTGTCACCTTCATATTTTGTTCTTGTAATAGCATACAATTTCATACCATTTTCCGTTTTCTGTTAGTCTGCAAATTAAATAAAAGTGTATGTACTCCATACGTGCTGCTGATCACATTTGCGGTTTGGAATTTCTATCTATTGACTTTCCATTTTTAATTTTCCTCGGAGTTCGGTATTTTTGTTTTTATTTTTTTTACTTTTTATAGTTTAAGAGACAACAAAACAATTGATAAGCATTTCCATTTAAGGGAAATAATTGTTATTCGGACAATTTTATCTTGAAAAGTGAGTCATTGTTGCAATTAAAGATTCGCTGTTACTATTACAGTTTTCAAAATGAAAGACAAAAAAAAAACATTGAAATAAATCTAAACTGAAAATAAAGGTTCGCCCCTATGTCGCCGTTTCATTTGATTTGTTCCAACTAAAACAATGAAAGTGTGGGAATTCCCGGGTTTTTCCCGGGATGGGCAATACTCCCATAAATGGTTAATATTGGGCAATATGATTTTTAAAGCTTATTTCTACACACAATAGTAAATATATATTGTAGTTTCATAGTATTATTGCTAACTATATACAATTGATACGATAAACATTGAGTCATTTTTTGGGAATGAAAAATTTAATGTCTTCCTTTTCTATAAGAATTCTATATACGAATACAATTATGTTCATCTTTTGGATACGTTGTTTATTTCCAAGCTTTGTTTGAATGAATCAAAAGTTTTTTAAAAAATGCATTTTTGTGAAGTGTTTTAGTTAATTGAAAATTTAATTGCTTTAAATTCAAATTGCTGAATAAACACCCTAAGGGGACATGTCATCCACACTTATAAGAGATGAAAAGGTTGAATATTGTAATACATGTATAAACAAATCTGTGTTATAATCTGAATATTTACTTATTAATTAGTGATGTACATGTAAGTAAGCTGAAATTGTGTAAACACTTTCTAGCAATGCACAAAAATGGTTGAATAGTGATTTTCCTTACATATATAATTAATAAATTCTCTAAATATAATATATATTAAAAAAAATAATAAATTAAATTATTTGACTTCATGTTAGTAGTCAGATCTATCAATTAAGACATTTGATAAAGTTGTAGGAAGATTATCTATAAACCTTATCACGCTTATTGTGAAAACTTTTCAAATTTGTATGTGTGTTCATTGAAAAATAAGGTGATGTAGTATCATTGCCAATGAGACAACTATCCATCAAATTCCAAATGAGGTGGATGCAAGCATCTATAAACCACTATACAGCCTTAGTCAATGAGAAAAGCTTGTATTTCTTTAGCTGCTGGACCAACACTTTCGAAAATTTGTACACTTTATGATAAGTTTCAAACAAATGAACTTATAAATTAAAATTATTATGTCTTATAATAATATCTATTGTATACTGCATTTGTAATTGATCACTAATCAATTATCTTAAAGATTCAGGCCAGTATTTCTTATTACCCAGAATTGCCCATTATTACCCGAAAAAAACCCAGTAAAACCTGGATTTTCCCGGTATTTCCCACTTGGCTGGGCAATACTCATAAAACCCGGGTTTTTGCCAACCCTGCACATTCGTGAAAAGGGAACGGGATTGTAGGAACGACATAATGAACATATCCGCTATCAAATATGAAACGGATATTCCATAACAGTCAACCAACTCATGATGGCGTCCGTAAAATTTACTAAGGGATGATTTTAACTTCACCATTTTAAACTCTTTGTTTAATAGCTTCCTTGTGAGCAGTAACCCTCTATCAACGAAATCATGATCGGAAATACAAGCCCGGGAATATCGTATATTGTTGCACGCTTAACTAGTCAAATTAAATTGTGCATAATTATTTATTAACTGTTATCAGACCTATCGCTGTGAAATCCTTATTGTCAGTCATAGGTCTTTTATTTTGGTTTGTTCTTTTACTTTTTGAACATTCAAATTGTCAAATTAGTCCCTATCAATCTAAATGCCCATATTTTTGTTTTGGTTCTTTATTCCAGTTGAAATTAACAAATACTCAATTAATTGTTTTATATTTGATTGCCATTTCAATACAAACCTAATCGACTGTGTTATGCATTGATATTATTCAGTATCCGATCCTAAATTAAAGAAATGTTCCCGTAATACTGTTTGATGTATGTTTTCGAAAACTACATCCCGATGCTAAAATATGAGTTATTATTCACATTAGACATTACTTACAGGTTCTTTAGAAATGCCTTTTGGAGGGATATCTATATGCTCTAGATTCTCTAAACAGAGTACCTTATTCTAAATAGATAAAAACATCAAATAATCTATCATTCATATAAACACAATATAATTCTCTAACATTTAAAACAAAACAAATGTATGGGCGAGTTAAAACATGTTTTAGTTGTTAAGGATCGATGTGTGCATTAATTGATGTCTTGATTGTAACATAGTATAGCTGTTCAATTAGATTAAATGGTGATTTTACTGTTTGATAACTTTATTTTTTCAATAAAGACATTACGGTTTTCTGTTAAAATTTTATTCTTCATTTTAAGGGAGATGACGTTTACATTTATATTTAAAATTGAGAATCGAAATTAGGAACGTTTCAAAGAGACAACAATTCGACTAAAGAGCAGAAAACAGCCCAAGGCCACTAATGGGTCTTCAACACAGTGAGAAAATCCTGCACCAACATACAAGATTCACAAACTCCCCTTTTTATTTTATATTTCTCTGATTACAATGTATTTCATTTGAAAACATGACATACAAATATATGATCGCAGAGTTATGAAAAAGAATTCACATTTATGACTGTTCTTCCATTATCCAATCTCTCTCTTGTTATATATTATAAGTCTGGAACTTTTAACTGGTCGTGCCAGTCTTTTCCAGCTACACTATATTGATTGACCAGTCTTATCTAGTATCATAAAGAACCAATCACACCTCATATTCAAAATCCACAACAGAGACGTCTTTTGATGCTATAAATCACTGCGGCTTGCAACTGGTTATTTGTATATCCTAACGTTTTCACTTGTGTCTTGTTTTGTCTACGATTCATATATTTGTACCCGATGTTCCCACGATATGTTACTATATCAAAATATAATAACCAACTGCAAATATTGCTGTAGATGCTGAACACGAACTCATTTCAAATGTACAGTATTATTTTCAGTTTTCAAACAAATATCGGGCTTTTATAACAATGTTTAACAATGTTAACGTAATTTTACAGTGTTTCTGATTCTCACATTCTTGTATGCAGTTAGGTATCGTTGTATCAAGTCATGTAAGTGCTATTTTATTTTTACTTATAAGTACAAATGTATGCAAGGAATCTGATGTACAGTAGTTGTCGTCTGTTTATGTAGTTCATACGTGTTTCTCGTTTCTCGTTTTTATATAGATTAGACCGTTGGTTTTCCCGTTTGAATGGTTGTACACTAGTAATTTTTGGGGCCCTTTATAGCTTGCTGTTGGGTGTGAGCCAATGCTCCGTGTTGAAGGCCGTACCTTGACCTATAATGGTTTACTTTTATAAATTGTTACTTGGATGGAGAGTTGTCTCATTGGCACTCATACCACATCTTCCTATATCTAAGAACATTATAAATGTATAGAATAATTAAAAACAAATATAAATATCTAACTGTCGATTACGAATACGCAGACGTTGTTTTCCTCAATCCGCAAAATATAATATCCGCAAAAGAAATAAAACTACCGTATTAACAAGAGACGAGAAAGAGAGGTTTTCATATAACACAGTAGATACATACCAGTTTTGAATCAACTTTTATTATCTTTGGCTTCTTTTGCCTTCTTTTATCCTTAAAAATAAACCAAACTCATCATCCATAGTTCCATAGTTTTCAGGAAATAATAATAATAATAATAATAATAATAATAACAATAATAATAATAATAATGACAAGAAGAAGAAGAGAATGAGGAGAGAGAAGAGGATGATGATAATAAAATGATAATGATAATAATAAAAATTCAGAGATTACAATGAATCGACGACGACGTGGATGAATATAATGGAAATTTTTTTTTGATTTATCATCTTGTCTGGGTACGTTTGAAGAAATATGCAGTTGTGGGGGTATAGTACTTTGTGACAAATTGAATAATGTTCCAGAACTCTTTTTACAGTTTCAACTTTTATATGATACATGTATATATTTATGACTACAACTTACCGGGAAATCTCTAGGTATTTGGCTAGCATACTCAAGATGATTGGGAAAATATCTCGAATATTTCAAAAAGTTTGAATTCTGAAAAAGAATTAAGAAATTATATTCATCACATATCCACATTTTGATACAACCAATGGCTGTAAACGTCAGCATGTTGAAAAGACATTCATTTACGAGAATGTGCTAGCCATTTTTAATGCAATGTCAATGAACCAAAGCATGCTGCTCGCCCAACTTAAAGTCATGCGTTTTCAGTCCAGTCAAATTTTTTTTCATTTGCTAGCATGGGAATGTTGAATTTTTGCGGGCTTTTTTTTTGGGTCCAAAATCAAGAGTTTAATGCTTGTCTTATTGAATGAATGGGATTTATGTTACGCCGCTTCAGCACAAAAAGGCTATCTTTTCGATTAATTCTTATACATAGTTCACCCAAATAATTATGATTCAGCTCAGTTATTTCAATTCACATTTCAAATACTTTTTTTCATTTGTACAAACAATGCTCATGGCATGAATGGTGTTTATCCTTTTCTTGCACAAATGTTGCATTCAAACTATGATGTACAGTATATTGTATACTTTTCAATAACTCGAAGGGATGATGAACGCACGGCAATTATATTTGGGATCACACGAAACAAGTTTTTTCATTTCTTTATTCGACGTTTTGTCATTCGTTTTTTCCCCATTAATGCAGGTGTTATCAACACGTAAAGGTACTCAACAAAAATATAGTAAACAAAAACTTCGAAAAAATAAATTCTTCACGATTGCTTTAACATTATAATTTTAGTTTTAAATCTATATGGAGTTTTTCTTTCAGCACGATAGGTTAGTCTTTTGACGATCCAACCCGGACGATACCAAGTTTCAATTAAATTTGCTTTAAGGAATAAAATAATAACCTATGTAAGGTCACTATTTTGCTTGATTAAAATGCAGACTATAATTCATTTGAACATTTAAGTAATATTAAATTTATCGTGTGTTGTAGCCAATTTTGGTTTTACCTTCTAATATTTGTCCATATTCCTTATAGGTTTAAGGCAGAAACAATCCTTTCTACCGTTCATTAGACTGAAATACTAAAAATCATTTTTGACGCACTGTTTAACTTTTTAAAGAAATAATGTAAAGTTTAATTATTTATGCTACAATCAAGGAACATTACGTGGGATGAATTTTATAATGCAACATTTTTTGTAACACTTTTAAAACAAGTCAGATGTATCACATCCGCATGTAGGATTTTTGAAATTTTTCATTTGCGGGTCAGTTATTTTGAAAAAGGGGTCTCATAGCAAGCCAACATTTGGAGAAATACTAATAAATAGTATATGCATTTATCATATATGACGCTACATAAGCCCCCTTCCCCCCCCCCCCCCCCCATTTCCCCCCACCTTTATAAGCTTCTGATCTTATTGATTAACACTGTATTGGAATACAGTGTTACATGTACATGTTTCACGATTTCGTGTTCTTTTCGTGCCAGTAATTTTACCTTTAACCCTATCAAATGATGAAATGACCAAATAATCTTATTTTCTATCGCATTACAGCCCATACTTGCACTAGTTGCAAGATTTCAGTCTGAAACGGTCATTTTGGTCTGATCAAGTCTTAATCGACTGGATTTACCGCTAGAGAAAAACGTCAAGATTTTTTTAGACTTTCAGACGCTGTCACGATATACCGTGTTGAGTCCGTTCAGTCATGTCAAGATAAACAAGACAGATTATGCTTGCGTCCGTTTCAGTCTGTTAAGACGGTTTCAGACGAAATCAGACCAAACCTAAAAATTTCCTTTCAAATTTGTCTGACTGTGTTTAGATCCGTCCAGTTTGCTAGTATGATACTACGAGTTACGCCTCTTCTGATTGATGATACATTTTAAATTGAGAAATAATTGCTAGAATTAAAAGCGTAACTTCCGAATAAATTAATCAAGAAAATCATCTGTTGATTATTTATTTCTGTCGTTGTTTTGTTGAGGACTTAACAAATTATTCGTCTATAAATGTCGTTGGTTTTATTTTTCAAATTAATGTTAGTTTATTTTAATTATTTATTAATTGTATATTGGCGAATAAAAGTGTACTATTATTTGCTGAAACCTGTATTTAAAGATATAAATTGTCGTAATTTAGTATGTTCTGTTTTTAAAGAGTGAGATCAATGACACGTGCAATAATCAATCGGGTCAACAGCTAATAAACCTAATGATCCATAACGTATGAAAGAAGATTGGCAATTACATGACTACTTTACAATTACATCTATCATAGTATCATAGCTTAGTGTGTGTAGTTCAAGGTTCGAACAATATTATAATGGCTTCTTTCTGAACACTACAGAAGAAGAAGATTTTATTTCCAATGATGGGCACAAAAGGGCATAAACATTACAACATCAATAATTTTTATAATATAATACAAACAATGCGATAAAAAAAAGATTAATGAGAATTATTTAAGTTCTTAAAGAATATGTAGATAAAGAATCTATAATATTTTTTTTTAAATATCTAATGCATTTTAATGCAAGTGTGGTTAATATAGATAATAAACAAACATCAAACAAAAAGCTGACTACAAATGACAGAGTTAACCCTAAACATGAAGATATTGCAAAACCGCAATTTTGAGTAGTCATTTAAAAGATTGGAGAATAGCTGTAATAAGTAAAAACCCAAAATTCCGGAGTAAGCAGTATATTTTTATATCTCGTCTTTTGGAAATCCATTATTTCTTTCTATTCATAGTTATATCCAAAGTTATGTCCTTCGATACAAAATTTTACAAACACATGTACAGTTCGGAAGTTTTTTTTATATGCCTTCAACAGCAATTTGTTGAAATAAATTTATTTATTTATTTATTTACTGTAATTATTTCTTTCTTTATTTTATTTTCTTTCTTTCTTTCTTTCTTTCTTTCTTTCTTTCTTTCTTTCTTTTTCATCTTCGTTAGGCAAGAGTTACGATCCAGTCCTCTCCTCTCAGGCTATCGAAGTTTGGGGACACTTACTCAACCCCACCAGGTAATGTTAACGCACGTGTACCGCGAATACAACCTAGTTAAAGCAGGGTACCAATGTGATATATGTGTGAATTTATTGTATTTCAGCTACACATGTGAAAAGCTGAACGTATCGACAAAACTCTGTAAAGCCACGGTAAAGGATTTGTATAGTAATATCTTACTATACAAGTCCTTCGTAAGGTAAACAGCATTGCCGTGACAGATTTGAGAAAGAGAAATTATTCATTAAAAGTCATTATGCACTAAATAAATTGTCTATAAACGACATGATATTACAAGACTATGTAAATCAATACAGGTTCTTTAATAAAATTTATGTAATACAAATCGTTCAAATAAGGAGAATGTAGACGTGTAAATTCAACCGTGTCCGAACTACTTGCAAGGATAACTAACATTTACATTATTTAGATTTTTTTATGATGTGCGGCAGAGATGTGCGGTTAAATTCCGTATTTGAAAAAAATTGATATGAACAAATGTCGGTATCTGTGTAGTATGTACATTTTGTGTATTATAAAAATTCTCAAATTTAATGTATTTTAAAGGACTTTTTAAGCTACAAATACAAATCCATGTTATATTGAAATAAGCTTTTCGTGTCGAAAAAAAGACATATAATAAAGAAAAATGCATGCAATTATTTTGGCTAGTAGTCCATACATGAAATCGCTTTAAACATAAAGGTCTCAAAAAGAAGATTGCCAAATCAGATCTAGTCCGTAATTCATCTTTTCATCCTTTGCAAGTGATTCGGACACATTAAAACAACGTAATGGTAACATGTCATCTGACAGATGCTAATTGCATGTACTAAGAATAAAGGTGGTGTACTTACAAAATACGGCATCTTAGAGAACAGGAATTAACAAATATATTAATTCAAATTTGCAAATCCAATTCACACGGAAAATCACTGTCACCATCGTTGACCACTGATTCATCACCAGATTTAACACAGATCACATGCATACGATTTTCAAAATAGAAATATATTCCAACAATATCATACAACTTAGGCACGCATATGCTTAAGAAGCCTTTTCGTTATTTTAAAAATACGTATACAAAATTGTGTGCAATATTAAAATTGTATATTTGATACTACTGTTCTGGCATAGATACATATCTCACTTATCCAAGACGTTTTTGAATCTCACTTCAAATTTGCGATTTTATTGATACGGATGACAACACAAGACTAAAGTAAAGACCATAAATTCCCGTGGAAATTTCAAGTGGAAGCCCAGCGGTGTTTAATAAAAACAGAAAACTTTTCGTTTGTTACAAAAAAATCTCAATACATTGGTAAGATAATACTGATTGATTGATGGTGTTTAACGCCACTTTCAGCACTATTGTGACGGTTATGTTATTGGGGGAGGAAGCCGGAATGCTCGGAAAAAATCCGCAGACCTTCGGTAGGAAAACTGACAATCCTAATCAATTAAGATTGGAGTCGAGGGCTTCTGCTAAGTGCAGAATTCTACAGGCTAGTGACACAATAATCCGACTACTTGGATTACTTGGCCACCGAGGCCGCTTATATAATACGGAATGGTGACCCTAAAATTATTCCTATTTGTTTCATTTTTAAATTGCCATTCGCGACGTTTCCAGCATAGTTAATCTAATCATGACTGCTGTGACTCGTTTTCAGCGAACAATATCACTATCTATCGAAATGATAACAAATTTATATAGATAGTCGCAATTTAAAATACATACATGTATATTGAATATAAGAGAGAAACATCCAGAACCAATCTGATTTCAATACAGGTCGATATCTAATTTGCGTTGGTTCGTCAAAGATATGGACATAGTAAAATCACACATTTATATTTCAATTAGATTGTTCTCGAACAGTTTAAGAAATTCGTCATCATCACAATTGTTGGCTATAATGTATAATAATGTGAACATGGTTCTAACAGTACCTATTGTCAATTTTCCTGTTCCGACATGCATGTAATATATGCCACTGGACGTACAATGATCCCAAAAAAACCTATTTGAAGAAATAAAGATACTTCACTCCGTATAGACTGATAGTAGTTATATTAACGCCTGATCAGCTAGAGGGTTGATTCATTTGTTTAGTTAGCTTGTTGGGGAATAAACCATTCTCAATATTGCAATTATGCATAAAAATAAAATGAGAGTAATAAGAGAAAATATAAATACGAAAAGTCGCAGATCTGGTATTTCTTGTATTTGTATAGTTGGTATTAGAGGAAGGAAGACATCCTAGGTCAGGCGTGCAAACTTTTCAGATCACGTGGTACGATTTAAGCTCCCGCGTTTGGCAATTTTAAATAATGATTAAGATCCACCTTCAACGCAGCGAGAAACCCCCGCACCCGGAGGCGTCCTTCAGCTGGCCCCTAAACAAATATGTATACTAGTTTAGTGATAATGGACGTCATACTAAACTCCAAATTATACACAAGAAACTAAAATTAAAAATGAAACAAGACTAACAAAGGCCAGAGGCTCCTGACTTGGGACAGGCGCAAAAATGCGGCGGGGTTAAACATGTTTTTTGAGATCTCAACCCTCTCTCTATACCTCTAGCCAATGTAGAAAAAACAACAGTACGCACAGTAAAACTCAGTGTTTAAGAGAAGTCCGAGTCCGATGACCGAATAGGAAACAAAAGAAAATAAACAAAATGACAATAATACATAAATAACAACAGACCACTAGCAGTTACTGACATGCCAGCTCCAGACCTCAATTAAACTGATTGAAAGATTATGTCTTCATCATATGAATATCAGGCACAATCCCTCCTGTTAGGGGTTTAGTATTATACCATCATAAAATATATGAGAAGAACATAACCCGTGTCATGCCAACAACTGGTTTTAGAATAAATATGTTTAATTCCGATGCAAAGACCCTATAAGTGAATCAATATTAAAGCCAAAATATGCAATCTTTAATGACCTGACAACAGTATCGTAACTATATCCCTTCTTAATAAGTCTGTTGAAAGGTTTTGTTAGCTTTTGAGGTGAATACTGACATTTTTGTGCTTTGTAAAGAATATTACCATAAAAGATTAAGTCTATATTCGTTGCTGCATAGAAAGCCGATAAAACGTTTTTTGTGAGTTTTTTGTACTGATAAATGCATAAATTCCAATATTGATAATTTCGTATCAAATAAAATTTTGTCCCGAATAAAAACTGAATTTCAAATCAAAGAATAAAAAAAAACGAGTATTCGATTTGATTTATGTACACTACATGTCGTATGAAATACAGGTAAGTCCACCGGATTTAGCAGTTAAATACAGGGACAAATTATTATATTACCCGCAAAAAATGACAATTACCAAATTTGTTTATCATGTAGGAATATTGTATAATAATTACAACAGTGTATTACTGCTAATGTTTATAATTTCAAACAACAAATTTTGAGTGTTCAGGTGATGTTCACATCTATGTTCAAAGCATGACAGGCTAGTTACAAATGACACATATTACAGCGACCATGGAAGTAATATATTGAGGGACGACACTCTGCACGCAGATTTCTCTCGGTCGCAGGATGGAAGTATAATAGATTTCTCTCGGTCGCAGCATGGAAGTATAATACTTCCATGCTGCGACCGAGTGAAATCTGCGTGCAGAGTGTCGTCCCTCCTCTGACTTGACATACTACACATTTATAGAGTCTTAACATCGCGACCATAACAAGTAAGTCTGCCACTTTATATTGTCCTACAACTGTTTGACACCATATTATCATATGAACCTAGGATCTAAATAAAGCTTTACATCAAACAAAAACAAAATGAATTACATAATTTTTTTCTTTTAAAAGAAAATAGCTATGCATGTATATGCCTTCATCTGGGACTATCATACTAAAAAGTTTCACGAACTTGTAAATACTTTACTTGTTTCGCTATAATGGTCAGAAATTCGAAAATGAATAAGAAGTCAAATTTTTTTTTTTTTAAATCGTATAACCAACAAATAAACGGGACAAGAAACTGGGCAACGAATACGATTTTTTACTGCAAAACCTTGAAAGTTTATATGAGACTTACTATTTTATTTTATTCCCAAAATCTATGACTTTAAAACACAAAGTTAAAATTTCTAAAACAGGTAAAGATATTTGGTGTTTGTCTATGCAATGGCGGATTTACCGGGGGCATAGTGGGCGCGTGCCCCCAGTCCATATCACCAGAAAAGTTTCTAACATAATTTTATTACTACTGAATCTGCTTATCTAAAGCGAAAATTAATCACAGATTGATTTGACTTCTTAACTGGCCGTTTATTAACCCCAGCTTTAACATGCATGATGCATATGCCATCTAGTCAAAATTTAAGTTACACACACACACACACACACACACACACACAATAAAATAAAAGCTTACTGCTATGGTTGCCATCTTCAGTGCATTTTCAATCTGAAATAAACAAAAAAATGCAGTTGTCTTTTTAATCCTCTAGGTTGCAATTTGCTCATAAATATACAAACAAAACACATACAATCAAATTGTAGTACATGTAATTGAAATTATTTTCATTTTGAAGAAATGTTAAAACAATATGTGATACACATATGAAATATTGCCAAACTAAGTGAGTTTTACTCAAAACTTTAATCGTTAAGTATGAGCATATTTAAAGTGTAATATCGTTTATATTTATAGAGATTGTATAATCTAAAGGTATTAAAATGCCATTTTTGTTTACAAAAGAGAACAAAATATGCATATTATCACAATATATTTATTATTTGAAAATATAATATTGATCGTAACCAAGTACTGCAAACATGATTTTATAGAGTGTTCGTCAGATAGACACACATTCCGGTAAATAATTGTTTTTTGTTCTTAAATGCGCTCTATATTTGATGGTCCACAAACTATACACAATATGATCGAAATACTTTTATTGTTTTTCGAAAAGACCTTTATCGTGACGTCAAAACTCTTGGTTTCTAATTTTGCAACACCTCAACTCAGGACTTACATTAAAATCATAATCAAAGTTCAAAATGCAGTAAAAATGTTTGGCCAATAATTACCACAGTAGGTATAGTGTCAACCTGGAAATCGTACTGGAGTGATTTGACCGGTTTAATTAGAATGAAATACGACACACCCGCGGGTTCGTGACTGAATTAAAGTTCCTACGCCTTATGTTTGGCCTGGATTTTAAATATTCATATCATCATATAATAAAGTCATGCTGATTATAAGGTGTACAGTGTTCTCTGCTTTTAAGATCTTTCGCTGTTAACCAGTCCTGATTTCTTACTACATGAACCTCAACCGGAAACTATATATGACATAAACTATTGGTATTGATTCAAACCGAAACTTTATAATTATTGGTTAATTATTGGTAATATCAATTATGTGGAAAACAAAAAGGCCTGGAATGGTGTCATTTTCTATCAACACCATTGTTCTATGATATTTATATAGAATGTTGAATTTTATGATTCGTCGTGTTTACATCATGCCAACTAACAAATTGAACCTCGTTATTTTCGTAGTATCGATATAATAAAAAATATTAACAAACAGACTTGCTATATTTCATGACATGAAATAGATACATAAACTTAATATACAAGGTTATATAAGGTTGGTTAGTACTAGTGATAAAAAGATACTATAAGAAAATATATTTTTTGTGTTATAAAAGTTTGATGTAACCTTCTAATGCTAGCATTACAAAATATAGAATAAAGCCATTGTCAAGTCAGAATATGACAGTTGTTTTCCATTTTTTTAATGTGTTTGGGCTTTTGTTGATTTTGCCATTTTATCAGGGAATATCTGTTCTGAATGTTCCTTTGTGATCGTTTTTTGTTTGTTTGTTATTTTATTATTTTCATACACATACAAATAAAATGTCAAAGATAATGCATACATGGAATCTATATATCCTCAAAGACACTTTACCCATATTCTTGCATTGAAGATGACATTTTGAGAATAATTTTAATTTCATATGTAAGGGTTTTTTCGAGATTTGTTTTAGAGTGTAATCCAAGTTTGATCAAGTAGCCTACAATGTAAATGTCAGTGCATTCATGTTTAAATAATAATGAAAAGGTTTAAATATAGTATGTGTCACAACACGAAACCAATAGATTGAACCGGTTTCATTTACTGTTTGTCTCGTTCGCTATTTGTTTAATCTTTCTAGATATGGAAAACAATTGCATGAACAATGTTCAAATGAAACTACGGTGAAGGAGAGTCTGATCAAGTGTATGTCATACGTGGTCACACAGGATTAACGTTTCATGATGGTATCTTCCTTTTCATCTGAATGAAATTTTGAGATGATTGTTCTTATTGATTATTGTATAATTCAATTTATTTTTAATGTTATTGTTAATGGGAAAAGCACTGGGCGGATTACATGTGTTCTTCATTTGACGTAGTTGACTATAAATATTCCTAGACTATAAGTCTATAGTCTCAAAGTTAGGTAAATAAATAGAGAAATATTTTGCTGGTATGAGATATTCTCGCAAATATATCCTTAATATACAAATCAAGTAAATATACGAATTAAAACATAAAAATGACCAGTCGCATCGACATGCTGAATTTCTCGTGCGTTGCATGCATTATCCGTCGTGATACTTGCTATTTAGACCAAAACTGAATTATAACATAGGTTATCAGACACATTTGGAAAATTTATAGATAAGACGACGAAAAGCATGTCACTCGAAAGTCGACACGCAGCCACACACTGTTTCGATCAACGAATTCATTGATGGTGACCATACATTTGTGTTGTGTCTATATCGATCGATTGTTCTTTCTCGTAACTCTATAGCAGTATTGTTTGCGTTTAAAACACACAACTGAACTCTGCTGTGTGTATATATGAAGACATGTATTTGGCATACGGTGGGGTAGGTGGTAAATTGCTGCTGATAAACGGAATAAAATGGTGGAACTGAAATTTTCACATGTGTCATTGATCCTCGTTTGAAATCACCAATCTCTGTATATTGCAATAATGAAATGCATACATGAGCAGCATGAAATAATTAATATGTATCAACGTGATGTTAAAGAACATATAAAGGCTTTTTGTTTTCCTTGCGAATGTTTTGTCAATGCTTTTCGTATTTTATATTGCGGTTTTGCAATAGATTAAAGAAGTTTGAAGCCTCGATGCACATCTGTAGCATACAAATATAAATATTGATGTCTGACACACTTCTGAACATCTGACAATGTCTGAAGGATATAAATTGGTACATTTATGATACATGTTTTATTTTTTATTCAAGGGATACAAAACAAAACAGCCTTTTACCTTATCATGAATGGGAATATAAATAAATCAACCACACTCGACAAATACGTTGTCCATAACAAATACCCGGCTAGTAATGATCAATTTCTACTGTTTATTTGTAATTTGGATCACTGTGGTTTTTCAAAAAATAAGATTCTTGAAATAAAAAAAAACTTGTATCTTGTAAAACAAATACTGTTTAATAACAAGTTGTCGTCGTTGAGGAAAGGAAATCAACATTGTTATGATTCGGAAATAAGATTTATGAGTTGGTTAGAATGTACATCTGATCGATACCATGAAATGTTCAATGGTTAAATTTTACTGTAGAACCAAAGTAGTAACTATCTAAGAAAAATATGTAGTTTATCATACATGTAGACAGGCGTGCTATTTATCGTTTCTTTTGAGGATTCGTGTGCAGGTATTAAACACAAAGATGAGCTATTTCCCTTGTTCCTTTGAATGTTAATTAAGTAATCATGACAAATAAAAACCCTGCCAGTTCGATTTACAATAAAAACGGATCATAAATTTGAAAAATAATTCAATACAGGAACAAATTTAAAGAGATCTCTAATTTATCCTTCAAAAATCATAATGTATTTTCTAACAATATAATGATTTATTCACCGATCACAATAATGGATTCAAAAAATTTAAAATCCATGTCATTGATTTGACTGACAAAAGAATAAATGAATAGCGTAAACTCAACTCAACTTTAACGTGTTATTCTCACAATTATTTAAAAAATATTTCTCACATTATAAATTTAGTAGTATTAACAGAATACAATCAGGGAAACATCACTACATCTAATTCCGATCATTCTTCCTGTGGAATTCTTTGCGATACACTTGTTAAAATCAAGGTGATGAGATGAACTTTCAGAAGTAATACATATCGTAAAAGTAAAAATAAAATGTCATGCTAAATGTGTGGACAGAAAGCTTAAAAATAAAACACATTCGTGTGTCTTTTTTTTATAATTTCAGAAAATACCATAATTTTTCCTGTAGCATTCTTTGCGATATTATTGTTCGGATCTAGTTGATAAAAAGAACATGCAAACATAATCCATGCAATATAAGTCAAAATGAAATAGGAATTGAATTCATGAACACACAGACAAAAAGACACATGCAAGTATGTTAAGTCAAACGAGTGGATATTGATAATGTCATGATCTTTTTTTTTGTTTTATTTCATTCAATACATGTTGGTAATATGCGAATACATTCTAGAAGAATATCTCAGATATTCATGTGAGAGAAGTACAAGTAGTATGGCCTGTTTCGATTGTAGAATGTTTCGTTTAAAATCTTAGTAGCCTTATATCAATCATTTTGATAGGTTTTAGATTTTAGAGAAGTTAACAACTTCTGACATCAGACTCGGACTTCTCTTGAACTGAATTTTAATGTGCGTATTGTTATGCGTTTACTTTTCTACATTGGCTAGAGGTATAGGGGGAGGGTTGAGATCTCATAAACATGTTTAACCCCGCCGCATTTTTGCGCCTGTCCCAAGTCAGGAGCCTCTAGCCTTTGTCAGTCTTGTATTATTTTTAATTTTAGTTTCTTGTGTACAATTTGGAGTTTAGTATGGCGTTCATTATCACTGAACTAGTATATATATTTGTTTAGGGGCCAGCTGAAGGACGCCTCCGGGTGCGGGAATTTCTCGCTGCATTGAAAACCTGTTGGTGACCTTCTGCTGTTGTCTGTTCTATGGTCGGGTTGTTGTCTCTTTGACACATTCCCCATTTCCATTCTCAATTTTAATAATGAAAAAAAATCAAAATGCAATAAAGTTATAATTGATTTGCAGAATTCAGATACAAATAAATTGCCGAAAATTAGAAATGTTACAGCTTTGTAAAATTATTTCAAAATAGGAAAAAAAAATCCAGTTTTATTTTTATTGACTTCTTATTATTTATTTTGTTTTCATAAGATTTAGGTTTTAAGGGAAACATTGCAAAAAATATATGAATAATCCTTTATTCGTGATCGTTATAATTGGCATAAGCGTAAACTATTGAAAGGTAAAAGATATGTATTTCAATTTCATTATGTTTGTCTATACCTGTATTGTGTTCAGATAGTATTATTAATACTTCATTACAAAA